ATCTAAAAGACTATGGTATCTACCGTCAAAAAAATAATCATAAAAATCGTCAATTTTTTTTTTTTAATTATTACAAGAAAACGGCCCGGCCGATCTCTACCAAAAACTAATCAGCACGATTCCCAACCAATATCTTTCGAACGGTTTTTGAATTTTCAAAATCGATTCAGCAATGCGGGCTAAAACGTAGACGAAAATTTTTTCACTTTTCTGCGATTTATAAAGAAACGGCTTGGCCGATCGTCGCACAAAACTGACAAACTATAGTCCTCGTCGAGGTACATCGAAGGGCTTTTAAATTTTTGAAATCGGTCCACCGGTTTTCGAGAAAACGTCGATTTACGGCAAAAAATCTGTTCACATACACGCACACGCACACACACATACACACACACACACACACACATACTTTTTCCAAATTTGGTCTCATTCGATTCAGAATGGCTTGAAACGTCGAGAAAACATAAAATTAGCAATTCGGATTTTTTTATGAAAACATAAACTTCTCCTTCGGGAAGTTAATAAATAAATAAATAATGCTATTGAATACTGTCAAAATGCCATGTATTTATGTGGAATTAGGCATTTTACACATATTCTGCAAATTCATTTATATGTTATCAAGCCATAACTCAAAGATCCAGTTATAATAACATAGTTTAAGTAAGAATTTTTTTCTAAAACGTCTGACTACAAAGCAGCCACATAGAAGTTTAATAGTTTTTAGTACAACTTTATATGAAAACTTATATAACATTGATCTATTTTACGGCAGAATCGACTCCTTAATATTTTTCCACTTAGTTCTTTCGTGCACTTGTAAATCTCTCGAGATTCTAATATATTTTGGCTTTTTAATAATTTTTACTGTAATATCCAATTATCAACATACGAAATTTTTAATGAAAAAAATTTAAAAAAAATTAAAGAACAAAACAACGATGTTTTGCGTATTCTGATACGATAGCACAATTTTTAAATTTGCAATAACATCGTCAAATTTTGAAAAAACCATAGATTTTATACGGCATGATAATTTTGATAATAAATAATAATTTACTAGGTAGTTATTCTTCATTCCACTGTTTCTAATTATTTTCCCATAACAGTAACTTATCTCTAAATACACTTATTCAGGGTGATCCTTGATAGGAATATTTTCGAATTTTTTTGCTCCCAGGAGCTCAAATGCTTTCAAATTGATTAAGGACAATTCTCTGAAAGTTTTAGTTCTTAATATTAACTTTAAGGGGGTATTCTAGTGTAGAGCGATGAATTTTAGGTAATTTTTAAAGCGTCGTAAAAGAAAGCAATGAATGTTTTTACTATCCATTTTTTGCAACTTGTTCATCAATATTATTAAAATACAAAACAAAAATTAAAAAAGTTGAAAATTGTATAAAGTGGCAGCTGATGAAGTGGGTGGTCTCAAAAAATTGGCACCTCAGTTTTGACATGATTTCAGCCCTCCTAGCCATCGAAAATGCAAAAAATAAAAAAATTATTAATCTACAATGATGTAGCAATCGCCCGAACTAGTGATGAGTAAAAAAAATATTTTTTTACAAATTGGCGACTGTTTGAATAAAAAAGTGTTTTTTTGAATTTCTAGAATTTTTTAAAAATAGTAAAAATTGGAATTTGCGGATAATCCTAGTTCGGGCTAGAGATAGGTCTATAAATAAAACTCTCTGATCATTTCAAGTAAATCGGTCGATTAAAACTCGAGAAATCGTGTCAACAGTACTGAAAAAGTCTGTTCTGAGAAAAACGCATTTAAAGTTTTGCGTGAAGCCAAACCAGTATGGTGACCGAGTCAGTAAAATGCCTATATCTCCGAAAATAATTCAAATTTTCAAAAACTTCCTCGTACCCATATTCTTAGATAGATAAACTTTGAAAATATTAAATAAAAAAAATGTTTTTTTTAATTTCTACACTAGAATACTCCCTTAAGATAGTCCGCAATTCAATCAAATGTTCTTGGTAAGTAAATACTTATTTTATAAAATATATCAAATCTTTGTTGTAAATTTTTAATTCATGATCAAAATAAGCAAATACAATGTTATTTTCAAAATTTTGATTCACTTGTTATGTTATAATATTCTAAAAAAACAAATGCAATGCAAAATGCACTACCTAACGTCAATATTAAGAGCTAAAACTTTCAGAAAATTTTCTTTCATCAATTTGGAAGGATTAGAGCCCCTCAGAGCAAGGAAATTCAAAAACATCCATATTAAGGACCACCCTAACATATATATATATATATATATATATATATATATAATTTGTTTATAATTTAATAAAAGTCTTAAATCTAAATTATTACGTCTATTTGTCGCAATTTCTCAATATTAAAACAATAAATTCGTCATCGGACTGTTCGAAACAAAAGACGTTTATTGCCCTCATTTCATATTGGCCCACGAATGCTAAATTCTGATTGGAATCGTGTGCATGTATATAAAATCATAAAAATCATATATGAAATACAACCGATCAAGGTTGAATCGGTAATAAATTTATTATATATATATATATATATATATATATATATATATATATATATTATATTTGTATACATATGTAAACATCTCCAGAATATCTGTTTTATATGAGCTATCACTTAAGAGGCATTAGTTCATAAAATCTAATTTTAATATTCGTTGGCGAATTGCCAGAATAAGTTTTCAAGAATGAAATGAAACAGCTAAAGTTAAAGGCATTTCGGTGATTCGATTGTTTTGGGAAAAAAGTATTATTCATACGCAAAAATGGACAACTTCTTCCAGCATGTTCTACTAAAATTTCTTTTCTCCCTACCTTGGCAAATTTATTTATTTTCGCCAAGATCGATGATGTGTTTTTACAACCGGCGGAGACTTCGGAATTCCGGTCTGTCGTTCCGTTTTGTCCGGCGATAAACTTCCGGAGGGATTAATACCTTTGTTTGTTTCTAACCGGAGTATTTGGGACGCGGAAAATATAGTAATAACGGCCAAAAAGAAAAAGAAAGGTTTTCCACTTATTGTAGAACACACATGTTATGAAGCTGCGAAATGAATATATATACATGTATATATTAGGGTGGTCCTTAATTTGGACATTTTCGAATTTCCATGCTCCCAGGAGCATGTTTAATTATCAATCAATTATCAATTTTCAAATAGATAAACAACAATTCTCTGAAAGTTTTAGCTCTTCATATTAACTTTTAGATAGTGCACAATTCAATCAAACTTCGTATGGAAAGAGCATGAAAAAAATTTTAAAAATTAAAAAAATGTTTTTAGATATAATTTAGCGAACAAATGAATAGGTTTTATTCAAAATTTGTCGCTAAGTTATACCTAAAAATTTGTTCTTTTAATTTTCAAAAAAATTTCTATGCTATTTCCATACAAAACTTTGATTGAATTGCGCAAAATAAAGTAAAACAACATTATATTTAAATAGGATTTTTACTAAATAGGATAGTAAAATAGGACCCAAATTTTTAAAAAGAAAAAAGAAAATTAGGAAAAAGCAGCCCATGAGTTTGAAAATGAAGAAAAAGAATATTATATTTAAATAGGATTTAAGATCAATTTATTATTATTATTAAATATTTAATATTGTATTTTTCAAAGTCGCACACAAAATCACGAAATCAAGAAATTTGGAAAAAATAGCCCAAGAGTTTGAAAATAAAGAAAAAAAACATTAAATAGGATTAATTTAAGATATCTATTAAACATGATGGCCCAAATTGTTACAAAGAAATCAAAAAAATTGTAAGAGTTTGAAAAAGAAAAGGAACATTTTTAAATAATATTTAATCAATCAATTTATTATTATTGATAAATAATAAATATTATATATTGCTTAAAAATTAAGTATTAAGTTTTGTTTAATTAGTAATTTAGTTGTTAATAAATTAATTTTTTATTGGTAAATTTAAAATTATTGAAAAAAATGAAAACTTATTCTGTAGAAGATAATAGGCAAAAATAAATATGACGCATCTGTTCTTCATTTTAAAATAAAATTTTTATTAAATATTTTAAATGTGCTCAATATTAATTTTTATTTTATTCTCAAGACGTATAAAAAAGATAAATTTAAAAGCATTTAAATGAAATTGCCATAAAAATACAATGTTTTTAGTGGCACAAAAATAGAAAAATAATTAAATGACGAATTTAACCGAGAATCGTTTCTAATATTTTTTAAATTAAATAGTCATTTTAAACTAAAACAAGTCTTTATAAAAAAAATTATAAACTATTTCACTAAATAAAATCCATAAACTTCCACTTACGTTTTTATTTACGTTACCATTTTAAATATATCCTATATAAATGTTATAAACAATATTAACAATTTTAATAAGCTCTTAAACTACCCTTAATATAAACTTGTACATGTTTAATATAAATATTTAAATAAATAAATATATTTAAAATTTTAAACACCAATTTATAGAGACGTAGCAAAAATATAACCATTTTATAATAAACAATTTATAAATTTATAACACATACAAAAATAAATATATATATATATATATATATATATATATATAAATTTATATACGTATTTATATTTGTATCTTAAATTTTGTTTTATATAAAAAATAATGATTTTAATTTTAGTTTATATAAATTTTGAATGGTTTAAAAATATTGAAGCAACGATTTAATTTTTTTGTTAAAAAATATTCGAACTGACGTAATTGTTTAATTAACTAAATAATTTTACCCGAATAGTTTGAAATAAAGTTTGTAGTTTAAAATCAGAAACACATATATGTAATAGAAATGAAAAAAATGTGAAAATAGAAGAAGGAACCGTAGAAAAAAAATAAATATAAATTTATAAATGTATTGAAAATTAATTTTAGATGTATGTAAGATTAATTTTAGTTTCAAAAATAAACTAAAATATAATAATCCATATATAATTTATACCAAACTATATATTCAAATATTTATAAAAAAAATTCAATAACCACTAAAAATAATAATTTGACTCTACAAAATAAATGTTTTGCATGTGTTTCTTATAGAAACAATTATGAAAGACAGGAAAGTCACCCCAGATAGAAAGCCAAAGAGTATTCCACCTGTATCAAAATCAAAAAAAAAATCACTTACGCCATTTTTGCACTTATAAATAAATATTTAACCAATTTTTAATCGATTAAATTAATTTATTCGCCACGGGCATGACTACCGGCTCTTTCTTGCTGCCTTTGTTGACCGTGATCCTAAAAAAATAATAAAAAAATTAAAAATAATTAATAAATACGGGAAATATTTAATAGGAGAAAAATAGAATTTGTGCAAAAGGATTAAATTTTGTTTATAAAATATTTTGTAAAATTTTCTCACATGATCTCGGTCAGTTTCATCAATAAGTTTAGATAAATCTTCAGGTTCTGTGACTGGCAAAGCACAACGTCTACCCCTACACACATAAGCTGCAGATCTCTGTCAAATTAAAAAAAAATACATTAAAAAACATAAACCTATATTAATCTTATTTTCTTGTATTATTTTTACCCCATTGATTGGTTTTATCCTAGAAGTCAAAGGACATTCTTCCTGCGTCGATGTCGAACTGCAAGATTCACTGTCCAAGGCAGGATCTGCTAAAGCAAGTACTCGTCCTGTTAAAAAATAATTTAAAAAAATAAATTAATTTTGTATGATGATTAATCAGATGGTTCGGTGGTTAAGTACCCGGTATTAATTTGGATCTGACTACTTTGAGGAGCGCTTTCGTTCTGGGGTCATCTTTTCGACCAGCTATCAAAATCTGTAAAAAAAAAGAAATTTATTATATGCATATTCATTGGGGTGGTTCTTAATATGGATATTTTAAAATTTTTTCGCTCCCAAGGGTTCAAATTTTAAAAAAATCTAGTGGTGTATGGCGTCGGCGCTTAATGCAAATTGCTCGAACTTCCCGTACCGCAATGAAATATTCGAGAAATTTAAACGTTTTCAAATATAATATTACAAATACTGTAACTTTCATTATTTTTTTGCTATCTTGTTATATCTGAGCACATCAAAAGTAAATCATAAATCAATTTATCTCCAGAACATTAATATTCGTCATTTCATTTCGAAATCAATTTCAAAAAAAATAGTTGCCTAATTTGCACAAAATTGAAAAAGTGCTCCCGTATAGTCACAGTGTAAACGCATTTGCAAATAATTCTGTGCGACATTTTCACTTATACTGTGTTTAGCTTGACGGCATTTCCACATTTTTCAATAGTTTTCACAAAATTGGAAAATCTCTCCAGTACGTGAACAGTCTAAATGCACTTGGGTAAACATTTGTACCAGATTGGCGCTTAGACTGTGCTTAGCCTGGGTAATTTTTTGAATTTCTAATCCAAAATTACAAAAATATTTTATGCAAAATAAAAAGAGGTGTAATAATTTTTTATCCTCAAAAGCAATTGTTTTGTCAATACAAGCACAGAGTTTATCACATCATTCAAATCGGACGTTTAGTTCATTCAAAAACTGCCATCTTTTGTACATTTAGCTCTGTATCTTCGAAATGGCGGGGCCTGCCTTTGCCAAAAACTAATCACCTCTTCTTCCAAATATTACAAATTGAATGTTTTTTAGATCATTACAATTCGATACTCCGTTCTCTCAAAAACTCGATTTGTATTTTCTATACTCTTTGCTCCGTATCTCCGTAACGGCTGGGCCTGCCTTTGCCAAAAACTAATCAGCATATCTCCTTATCAATAGGAATCGAATGTTTTTTGAACCATTCAAATCGGTTGATCCGTGCGCCCGAAAACGTGGACGAAAAAATGCGGACATACAAAACACACACACACACATCCATTTAGTTTCTGAGGTATGCAAAAATGTTCAGAAACCTTCAAAACGTCGAGAAATGCAAAATTTTCATTTTCGATTTTCGGCCCATTACTATAACTACCCTACAGGAAGTTAATAAATATACGAAACTTTGAATTGAAAAATTAAATAAGAAATATCCATATTAAGGACCACCCTAATATACATTGCCATTGGCAATTTACTAAGAGCTTCTTCCGTGTGACATATCAAAAAATATCAAAATTAAAAAAAAACATTTCTTACAAAAATTTGAGAATATTTAGAAATTTTCAAAAACAAACGAAATTTTGAGAAGTTTCAATAAGTATGAAAATTTAAAAAAAAGCGATTTCTTACAAAAATTTGAAAATATTTCGAAATTTTCAAAAAAAAAATCGAATATTTTCGATTTGAAAATAAACGAAATTTTGAGAAAGTTCAGAAAATATTAATATTTAAAAAAAAATTATTTCTTGCAGAAATTTGAAAATATTTCGAAATTTAAAAAAAAAAAACGAAATTTTGAGAAATTTCAAAAATATCTAAATTATCAAAAAAAAAATCAATTTAAAAAAAAAAACAGAACAAATTTCCTATATACATACACAAAGTTGTTTGTATATACGCTCGTTGCCCAATTTAAAAAGCACTTATAACTTTACAGTATGTATTTAAAATAACTAATCTATTTGAAAATATTCAAAACAATTATCGATTATTTTCATTTCTCGAATGTTTAAATAGGGTACGGGAAGTTCCAGCAATTTGCCTTAAGGCACGATTAAATCAAAAAAATCGGCGGAGTGGAAATTTAATAAGGCTCACATATTTATAAATAATTCTGAAATGGAATGTGCGTTTCTAACGAAATATATTTTAGAGAGAGGGTTGCACACCTGATTTTTTATTCTGAGGTAGTAAGTCAATAGAATGAAATAGAGTAGGTAAATATAGGTAAAGTAAATATAAATTTATATAATCAGGTCTTTTATTTTAGAGTTTTTATGTTTTTGTGTTGAGATGTTATGTTTTTATCTGTCTTATTAGTTATTTATTTAAATATTAAATTGAGTAAATAAAATAATATTGTTATGCCATACACCCCACTAGTTATTCAATCATTTCTCCTGTATCCTTTATTACCAATAGAATGTAATAGAGTAGGTAAATATAGGCAAAGTAAATATATATTTATATAATCAGGTCTTTTATTTTAGAGTTTTTATGTTTTTGTGTTGAGATGTTATGTTTTTATCTGTCTTATTAGTTATGTTTTTATCTGTCTTATTATTCAATCATTTCCCATGTTTCCTTTATTTTTATTACCTGAGTGTGTGAATCGTGCGCCAAAGCCAAGGCGCTCGTCATCTCCGGAAGGGCGACAGGCGCCCTTTCCAATCTGTGTGAAAAGGCGGCCAAAATCTTTCTGGCTTTGATGGCCTCCGGTTCCCCGATTGTGACTCTTTTGCCTCCTGAAGAACTGCTCCTGTGTCTCTGTTGGGGCGACAATTGTTCGTGGGAGGCTCCAGAATGTGCCGCCAGACGGGAAAGATTATGGGCCGAAACAGAGTTGCCGGAAGGCTCGGCACCATCTTGATCTGGGGGAAAAAATTGATATATATATATATATATATATATATATATACTAGAACTAGATGACCCTACAGACGTTGTCCTGTACCCACGTCTACAATTCAAAAGTTCCAAATTGTTTAATATCCTATCCTATACTTTTTATTATCCCATTTGATGTCATGCATGATGTGATTCATTTATGGTCTTAGCATAAGCAGTATAAGAAATTCAGAAAAAATAATATAGTGTCTGCGGTAAAAAAACAATATCACACTTGATTTTACAACACATCTTTTCATAGTCACGTAAGATATATTAGTTGCTTTTTGGCAATTATAATCGGTTGTAAAGTACATTTTTCTTATTATTAATTTAATAAACAGAATTGTTCACGTTCAAATTTTCGGTAAATTAATTTGTAAAATCTAGTTCTTCAATCTAAGATCAATTTGCTAAATATTCCATATCCAACGCCAAACAAATCAATTTTTGACACATGAAACGAAATTCTAAATCATTTCAACATCAATAAGCAGAAATATTTTTTGTATTGTTAAATAATTTAGTAAAGTAAACCAAAATGCGACATGCAGAAGTTTAAAAAAATAATGTATATGCAATTTTGAACGTATGGTGTTATTTATTAAACTGAATTATATAATTTCATCTGCCAAACATATACTGTTTGTATATGTATCTTATATTATTTTAATTTCTGGCACACCTCAGCTGCTTTTCTACTGATGTTAATAATCTTGATCTATTTCTCAACACGTGTAATCTTTCTGACAATAGAAATTATTAGAACTTTATTGATGTCCAAAATTTTAATAAATTGTATAGCAATGGTGCACTATATATATAAATCACATATAGGCCACAATGTTTGTCCAGAATAAACTCCTAAACTACTGAACCGATTTTCAATTTTATTTGCTCACTGTATGCATTTATATCCAACTTAGGTTATAGGTAATAATAAAAATCTAACTTCATTTTCGATATTAAAATTTTGGTAAATTCAAAAAATTTTCAATAAAACAAAACTGTGAAATGGCAGTTGTCAATTTTACTGGAAACTTCGAGATAAATTTATTTGTGAATTACATTGGATCGAAAGTTCACATTTATATAAGTTCTATAAATCGAGTATTTTTGCCATAAAAAAATCATATATTCTAATGTTGGATTGGAAAAGATTGAAAATTTTACGAGTTGCGGTTTAAAAATTTGAAAATAAATTTTATACACTTTCTATCTGCTTGAACAGAAGATTCCTATATATATTTCCTATGTAATGTAATTTGAACATACAATATCTTGAACACTCAATATCTATCATACAATTTATATTTAAAATATGAAATTCTTAGTAAAAAATGCCCAATATTTCGAAATATTTTTTGTCTACTTTTTTTCCTAAAAAATGTGCTTAAAAACGATGAAGAAAATTGAACCGACAGATTATTTTGGCATTTTTTAAAAAGTCGATCTATTCATGTGTGTGTGTGTTTGAGTATGTATGTACGTACCATGCATATATGTAGGAAAAATAGGTAATCCGATTTGGATGGTTCAAAAAAATATTAAAAATATTCTATTTGTATTTTTAATGTGTTGTCCGAAAAAAAGCTAACAAATGCCACAAAGTGCCCAAAAACTAATAAGATTCATGCAGAATAAATCAACAGATTTTGTATAAAGCTCTTGAAAGTATGTATACATTTAATTGTGTAAATTTAGGGTCAACAAATATTTCAATCATTTGTTGTAATTATTTTCGAATTTCTGAACAAAAGTAGAATTTAAAAAAAAAAACATTTTTTTTATTTTATAGCTAACTATACACAGTACATTCAGCTATTAAAAAAACAACAGTATAAGTCCAATTTTGACTTCAACTTTTGGGATAACAAAATTAGCAAATCGAATTTTTTGGCCTGAACTTAAACAAAAGTTAAAAATAATAAAAAAACATACACAATTTGCCTTAAAACGCAATTATTCACCCAATCATTTTTTTAATCGAATTAGTTATTTTATAAAAAGCTTTCAAACTATTCTTGATCTTCATCAATTACATTTCAATTGGCTTATCGTGTGCGAGTCCGACTCGTTAACCTTAAATCCTTCTTTCCTGTTTACGTTCCAACTTGTTCATTTGGGGAACACATGGCCTGTTCGATAAATCGATAGATTGCAATTAGACGGGGAGCTGGTGAAAGACTCATAAACCCAAAAAATCAACCATTGGGGTAAGATAATTAAAATAATTCCTAGGCAGGAAAATAAAACATGATTGCTCAAATTGACGTGCCTTAAAATGATGTGTTGTACCATTTCTGGTGGACCTTTTTATGGTTGTTTTGTGAAAATAAGAAAGGGAATTATAATCGTAAGAAACTCGGAAAATTTGATATTTTTGAAATTCTGATTTTTTATTTTTAAGAAAATACAAAAAAGGACTCTACTGACGACCACATTTAAAAAACGACATAAAAAATATAAAAAAGGACTCTATTGACGAGCAAATTAAATAAGGACTTGAAAAATACAAAAAAAGAACTCTATTGACGAGCAAATTAAATACCGACACGAAAAATACAAAAAAGGACTCTATCGACAAGCAAATTAAATAAAGACATGGAAAATATGGAAAAGGACTCTACTGACGAGCAAATTAAATAACGACACAAAAAATATAAAAAGGACTCTACTGACGACCAAATTAAATAACGACATGAAAAATTCACAAGAACTCTATTGACGAGCAAATTAAATAACAACATGAAAAATTCACAAGAACTCTATTGACAAGCAAATTAAATAAAGTCATAGAAATACAAAAAGGACTCTACTGACAGGCAAATTAAATAAATACATGGAAAATATGAAATGCAAATTAAATAACGACATGAAAATTTCACAAAAGAACTATATTGACGAGCAAATTAAATAACGACACGAAAAATATAAAATAGGACTCTACTGACAAGCAAATTAAATAAAGACACGAAAAATATAAAAAGGACTCTACTGACGACCAAATTAAATAAAGACACGAAAAATATAAAAAAGACTCTACTGGCGAGCAAATTAAATAACGACACAAAAAATAAAACAAAAATCTGTCGAGCAAATTAAATAAGGACTTGAAAAATACAAAAAGACTCTATTGACGAGCAAATTAAATAACGACACGAATAAATAAAAAGAACATAAAAAAATATAAAAAATGACTCTACTGACGACCAAATTAAATAACGACACGAAAAATATAAAAAGGACTCTACTGGCGAGGCTCTTGGTCTATATCGATGGAAATCAAAGCCAGACATTCCACGTATCAATAATTTTAGCCCGATTGTATATTTTTAGACTTCTCATTAAAATGTTTCGTTTTATGATCGGAACGGAGAATGGACCGATTGCTACGCAACATCTCAAAAATTGCGAACAAAAAAAATAAAATATACATATATATATATATATATATATATATATATATATATATATATATATACATCTTATATCTTAGGTATTCAAATGTAGGTCGAGTCGAATTGAGTGCAAATGTGCATAGGGCGATGCAGTTCCACAATCGAGTTATCACGTTCATTTGAATAATAGACAAAGTTTGAATACGACACCAACTTCCATATGAGACAAACATTTGACGAATGACAGAATTCACATATATATACAACAAAATAAAAGTTATCAAAAACAAACTTCCAGAAAAACAAACTTTGTTTTTGCTCTGAATTTTTTTACTGTGCTCCAATTTGTATCAAATTTTGGAAGTAGGTTTATTTTACTCTCCTTTGCCACTTTGAGTGGGGATGACATCCATTCAAAATGATGTATTTTTTTTTCAAAATGTTTAATGATGTTTTTCAAAAAAGCAGATACTTTTCGAGTTACTGCCTACTAAAAATTCGTTTCTTTTTGACATGAGTGGACGCGGCAATTTTTTATAATATAGATTTAAAGAGCGTTCCAGTTTTCTAGAAGTTTTTGCAAAAAATTATAAAATATGTTATGGAAGTATACATAGTTTTGAAGTCTATATTAAATAAAAAATTATATGCAACAAGTCAGTAAAATGTTTACAAAATGCAAGTAGGTACTCTTATACTAGACTTGAGAGAAATGATTACAATTTAATTTAGTAACTAGCTGTAAGTGGAATTCTGTCTTAAGGCAATTAGGGCATCGTGCCTTAAGGCAAATTGCTGGAACTTCCAGTACCGCAATTCAAAATTCGAGTAATTAAAAATAACCAATAATAATCAATAAGAGTTTATCAATGATTTGAAACTTTTAATAGAATTTCGAACCATATTAAATCATCTTAAATCATTCTATTTTAAATCATTTATTTTGAAATATTTTGGAAATTCTGAACTTTTTTTCAAAGCAATCGTACTGCTTTAACTGCAAAGCGCGTAAGCGCCGGGTCGCCGTCTAACGCGTAAACATTGGTACGGAACCCATAGGAATGTACACAAAATTTATAATTATTGTTAAAATCTCTACAAAATATCTGATAATTTGATGTGCGTATGTCTAATGTTCATTTTTGATCGCCAGATGGCTCATTTTTTTACTTTTTCCTCCATATCTCCGAAGTCGTTGCACCTGCCTTTCCAAAAATTTGAACAGTTCTTCATTCAGTTAATACAAATAAAATTCTTTTTGAATTATTCAAATCGGACGATCCGTTCTCTCAAAAGCTGAGTTACCGTTTTTGGCACTTTTTGCCCCGTACCTTCGGAACGGCTAGACCTGCCTTCGCCAAAAACTAATCAGCACGTCTCCTTATCAATACGAATCGAATGTTTTTTGAATTATTCAAATTGCTTCATCCGTGTTCCCGAAATCGTCGACGAAAATTTGTATCCGCACATACATACACACACACACATACATCCATTTTTTCTAAGGTATGCCAAAATGTTAGAAGGTTTTGAAACGTAAAGATATATAAAAATTTTCATTTTCGATTTTTTTGCGATTACTA